TATTATCATTGATACTGTTGCATACTCATTCTTGTTGTCATCGTCATTATCATTGCCATCAGGAATATGCGAACGAGTAATACTGTTAATAATAATGTATTTTTCATTTTAGACGGATGTTTTCATTCATACAGTAATTAAAGTAATGGGAATCACGGAATAACGGTGATAGAAATTGATGATAAAAATGAATTTTTAACATCAGAATACACGGATTCTTTTTCTTTTGTGATTAAGAATGAACCCTCTCTGTTATTCTTGTTTACTTCTATATGTTAAGTATATATATATATATATTTTTTTTTTCTGATGATTAACTGATTGTACATCCATTCCGTTTCCATTTCTGCGATGGCTGACTCTATATAATTACGTAGTTACATGTTTATCTGATCTTTGTGCTTTTCTTTCCTCATTATCCAGTAATTCATATTCAGCAGAGGTATAGACTGCTTCCTGTAATACCTTTCTTGCACAAGGCTTGGCGATGCTGTCTCGCTATTGGTCGGGGCGTAAAAGGTCGACCAATGACATTAAAGGATATTTTCTACAATATCAGGCACAGAGATATATATATAAGGCCTTAGACCCAGAGCTTAGTATACTCAAATGCTTACTGGAGAAAACAGAACATTAAGCCTCCTAACTTTGAAGAGATTCTTTATCTACTGAGTGATTTGCAAGGTGTGTATATGTAAATTTGTGAAAAAACAACGATCTGGTTATTACATAAGGTGAAATAAATCACGATGTTTATAGACTATAGTATTGAACATAGGGATCAGTCTTCATTGTTTGCCAAGGAAAATTAAGTACATCATTGCACTAATTTACTTATAACATTCTGACTTCTCTTGCGATTAACTAAGAACGTTTTGCTTTTCCTTTCAGATGAATAGCGCCCTTATCCTTCTGGTGGCCGTTGGTCTTTCCTGCTTGATGGCAGTCCAAGCATCCTCATTCGGCGTTCTAGCCGGCCTAGGAGCCTTGACGAGCGCTATAAGCAAACGGAGATATCACGGTGCAAGCCATGGACGCGGCCATGGCCATGGATATAGAGCTCCTAAAAGGAAGTACCGTCTCCGCTACCGCCGCTCCGTCGCAGCAGCTGATGAGGAAGATGACCTGATTTTGTCTGCAGTAGGACAGCTGGATGCCGACACCTGCATCCCCAAGATGTTTTGCGTCCTGCAGGCGAAGGATGAATCCGATCGCACACTGAAAGAGAACATGCTTGTGGAAATCTTAAGCGATAATACCATGAACCCAAACTCCTACAACGCTGCCTTCGTCTACGCTAGAGTCGTCGCCACTAAGGAGAAAGACTCCTCCGTCTGCAAGAAGGTTTTCCCCAAATGTTCACTTGGTGAGGAGGAACTAAGTGAGCTCTTGGATCTAGCATGGGGCTGTGACTGCAGCTCTGGAGGGAAAGAGTAAAGCTAGCAGCTAAAACTCATTGTCGCATCTGTTGGCATCTTCCTATGGCTAGAGCCACAGAAGGGTGACAAGGTGTTTCTCTCTCTAATGTCCGTTGGACAGCGAAAACACATATTCACTGATGAGTCATACTGCAAAGAGAAAATCTCTAATTGCGATATGTCCAGCTAGTGTACATACATTATATGCAGATATTCTGTGTCTTAAATAGATAATATTTATTTGCTTCATGCCTGCGAATATGCGAGTGGTTGACCCAAAGACAGATATTTTATTTATTACGCCAAATGCAGTATTGTTATGACAGCCTGTTCTTATCATGCTGAATTGTTGATGACTTCAGACAAATAAATCTAAATATAGTTTCTGGAATGATTGTGCTTTTATCCCTCTCTTTTTCATCACAGAACACATTACCTATATTCCCAGGCATATTGTACAAGAATCCTGGTTGGGCCACCTAAACTTAGTATATGTAGAGATAAATCTATCTCTCTATATCTATATTTATAGCCATATCTACATAGCTATATATGTATATATATCTATATAAAAATATGTATACATACATCTTATTTATATAAATATATATAAACTGAAAACATGTGAATGCATTAATTCATCAATACATCTATCTACATATTTACATTTATAACGATATATATATATATATATATATATATATATATATATATATATATATATATATATATATATATGTATATATGGCAAAGGAACAACGTAGGGAAGAACAAGAAAACACGGAGGCACTTTCGCTGTATTGCTTCTTCATAGTTTCCTCATGCCTTAAAAAAGCAATATGTATATGTATATATACATACATTCATATATATGCACACACACACACACACACACACACACACACACACACACTATATATATATATATATACTTGTGCAAATGGTCTTGCATCTGTCTATCTATATTTACAAATATATTTATATATAAATGCCCATATATATGTATATATGTACACACACATACACATATATGTCTACATATGTCTGTCTCTCTATATATATGTATATATATAAGTATATATATATATGTCTATGTATATACACATATATATATATGTATATATATATATATATATATAATATATATATATATATATATATATATATAGTATATGTATGTATTTATCTACATGTATGTATGTACACATATGTTTTGTTTATGTATAACTGAATGAAGTTGCTGAAAATTTCTTCCTGCTCACCATTTTCCACGTCTCTGGGTCACATTAGCACTTGCTTCATCTTCAGAGTATAAACTACCAAACGCTACTTGGCAATATGTAATTCTTCTAATTAGCCTTAACATGGAAACTTTCTCTCTTAAATAGCTTTCCTTGACCTGGCATAAACACGGCTCTTGTGGGAAATCTATTCCAAAAGAAAGAATCCAGAGCAAGCTGTCTCCTTGGTGAATCAGGGTGGAAACGATAACCATATACTTTGACTTTATTTTTTCCTCTCTCTTTCAGCCTTAAACTATGTACCATTTCCATTCCCTGATTTTTCATGTTCAGTAGACGTGTATTACAGAAGTCTTCGGAGGGAAAATACTTTTTGAGTTTGTTTACGCTGAATTGATTGCCACGAGTGTGCAATCATAAGGAAAGGGCACTAAAAAAAAAAAAAAAAAAAAAAAAAAAAAAAAAAATGGTAGTACCAAGCCATTAAACATACGAAGCAGCACCCAGCCATTCCGGAATTCTCCACTCGCTTTCCAATCCACTCACACTAACGATGTTCCTTGCATTTCACTCTAGTTTGACGTATATGTGCTTATCTAATGTTTTTTATTGTGAGTCATATTCATTGATTTTTCAATTTGCCCCTCCCCCCTTTTTCCTATTTGTGTTCGTTTCCTGTCCTCCCCCATTCTCTGTCTTGTTCATTTTCTTCTCTTTTTCATTTTTTGAAACTGCATCCCATTTGCCATCTCGTCTTGCAGCCATTTGTGTAACTATTGTGAAACCTTCACCAGCTGTTTCTCTCCTTACTCTTTATTATTATTATTATTATTATTATTATTATTATTATTATTATTATTATTATTATTTTATTCTGCATTCCTTTTTTTCCTTTTTGTTCTTGTCTCAGGTTTCTCCTTAAACAATCATCATACATAGAACGATACGCCTTCTTTATCTACTGCATTTTTTTTCTTGATTTCACTTTTATTTTCATTGCAAACGAAACATTACTTAATTCCTCAACACAATACCCAATGAAGTCAAATCAATATATAGACTCAAAACATAGCAATGAACTTACACATTTCCCCCGAGTTTTAAAATCAGCGTATAGCTCATGAATGTGAGTCACAGTTACTCGTTAACAATGAATAGTAATGAGGATAGTCTGGCGAGTGTGAAAGTATTCTGAGAATCTCCGGTTAGCTTAGCGTTATGATCACCCAAAGGGAGCGTATGATATCCTAAATCACTGTGTATCATATAAATATACAGTTGACTGTGCGTAACACAAAGGTAGGTTTTAAATACCAGCATGATCCAACACAACAGATTTAATTTGTCAAGATGGGTCCAGCGTCCTAGACAGATTCAACGCGAAAATTATATTGATCACATCAGTTAGGTATTCACATGGTTTCAAGATAATACTTAGCTACAACATGGCAACATGGATTCGACATGGCAGCAAGAATCCCAAACACATGAGTTGAAATCCATGACAAAAAATTCAACACGACAGAGACTCTAGACTGAACACGATAGAGAAACTGGTCTGATGTAGTAGTAATAACCGTGTATGGCTATATAAGTTTACATAAATGTGCAATGAAACATGCTTTGTTTTAAATATATCATGAGCTGTATAAGTACCTAGCATTAACATAATTTGATGGACACAGAAAAGAGAACGTAATCAAATAATTCGTAATGTTATCTGTGACATTACTGTGTGTTTTTTTTTATCATTGATGCTGTTGCATGCTCATGATCCTTATTGTCATCGTCATTATCATTATTATCAGGAATATGCGAACGAGTAATACTATTAATAATAATGTATTTTTCATTTTTACACGGATGTTTTCATTCATACAGTAATTAAAGTGATAGAAAATATGGAATTACGGTGAAATAAATTGATGATAAAAATGAATTTGTATTATCAGAATACACGGAATCTTCTATTCTTTTGTGATTAAGAATGAACCCCTCTCTGTTGTTTTGTTTACTTCTATTTGTGAAAAAAAATACATATATTATATATATTTTTCTGATGATTAACTGATTGTACTTTCATTCCTTTTCCGTTTCTGCAATAGCTGACTTGATATAATTACGTAGTTACATGTTTATCTGATCTTCGTACTTTACTTTCCTCATTATCCAGTAATTCATATTCAGCGGAGGTATAGATTACTTCTGTAATACCTTCTTGCACAAGGCTTGGCGATGCTGTCTCGCTATTGGTCGGGGCGTAAAAGGTTGACCAATGACATTAAAGGATATTTTGCTACAATATCAGGCACTGGGATATATATAAGGCCTTAGACCCAGA